GCTTGTTAAACTGATGCTGACTCCATGCCAGATGAACTGAGTCAGACTATCTGAGTTGGGAGAGGGGCCTTCTCCATTGATTCTGATGCCTGTGGCCTAGGAATGTCACACAAGAAACGTTTGCCTAGAACAAGACTGCTAGCCCAGCTTCTACATTCTTTGCTAAAGGATTAACATGATTTATTGCATTCCCTCTTCAGAAGCAATACACCCTTTCCTCACTTATTGGCATGATTAGGTTCTAAAGACTGGGTGGTTATGAGAAAATCAGCATTATGCAAAAATGAGGATATACATCAGATCACAAAAATATTATGTGGTATTTATATATCCCTCTGGACCTGAAAGGGAGACAATGTAAGTGGATGTTATATGTCCTCCTGGTTATGAAAGGGTTACTGCCAGATGTATGTTGTTAATGTGCAAGATAGTCGGATAGTAGATTTTTTACTGTTATTGTAAATGTGAAACGTTGGCTAACAAGATAGTCAAAAAGTGAGGAATACATGTACTGCAAAGTAGAGGTTCCATTTTCCAGGTGAAGAGCCAGAAGCTTAGGATGGGGTGTCATCTGCCAAAGGCCACCAAGTAGTCTTAGTGTGATGCAAGCTGGAGTGGGGTTCCTGGTGTGACTTCAAAGCTCTTCCTTTCCCATATCAGTGAGGTCCTTCCTTCCTGCTCTGCTCAGCACTGTTTTCTGTCATACCTAGGCATTGCTTGCCCCAGAGAGGCCATTATTACAGCTGGTATTTGTTGTAAATGTACATGTTTTGGGAGGTAAGTTTGGAGAAAATTACAGGCACATTCTATTACTCACAGGCTCCCCCCTCACTATACTTTTCACTCCTCTCCATATTCCTAAATTGCTTATAGATTCCAGAATTGGATTCCTGAGCACTGTGCTAGATACCTAGGAGAAAAAAAATTAAAATGATCTGATCTCAAAGAGACTAAGTGGAAGACAGATAAGTGTGGAAAGTGAGATAACAGGGATCTACACAGGATGCTCATGGCCACAGAGGAGTGAGTCAAACATCACAGACGAGAGGAAGAGAGGGAGTAACCCAGGTCTGCTTTTCTAGGAGACAATGTCAAGTCTGGCTACAATGTGGGCTGCATATTGTGGGAGGTGAGAGATCAGACTAGGGCATTAAGCAAAAGTTCATTAAAAAGACAGCAAAGAAAGAAAAGACCAAAATGGATGTCAGAAGAGACTCTGAAAGTTGCTTTTGAACGTAGAGTAGCTAAAGTGAAAGGAAGAAATGATTAAGTAAAAGAGCTGAATGGAAGATTTCAAAGGGTGGCTCAAGAAGACAAAGTAAACTATTATAATGTAACCTGCAAAAACCTGGAGTTAGAAAACCAAAAGGGAAGAACACGATTGGCATTTCTCAAGCTGAAAGAACTGAAGAAAAAATTCAAGCCTCGAGTCGCAGGATTCTACAGGTAAAATATTAAACAATGCAGGAAACATCAAAAGAAGATAGAAGGAATATACAGAGTCACTGTACCAAAAAGAATTGGTTGACATTCAACCATTTCAGGAGGTAGCATATGATCAAGAACCAATGATACTGAAGGAAGAAGTCCAAGCTGCATTGAAAGGAATGATGGAAAACAAAGCTACAGGAATGAATACCAATTGAGATGTTTCAACACACGGATGCAGTGCTGGAAAACCTCACTCATCTTGCCGAGAAATTTGGAAGACTACCTGGCCAACCGCCTGGAAGAGATTCATATTTGTGCCCATTCCAAAGAAAGGTGATCCAACAGAATGTGGAAACTATCAGACAATATCATTAATATCACACGCAAGTAAAATTTTGCTGAAGATCATTCAAAAGTGGTTGCAGCAGTACATCAATCAACAGGGAACTGCCAGAAATTTAAGAAGAGAACGTGAACAAAGAATATCATTACTGATGTCAGATGGATCTTAGCTGAAAGCAGAGAATGCTAGAAAGATGTTAACCTGTGTTTTATTGACTATGCAAAGGCATTCGACTGTGTGGATCCTAACAAATTATAGATCACGTTGCTAAGAAAGGAAATTCCAGAACACTTAAATGTGCTCCTGTGGAACCTGCACATAAACTAAGAGGCAGTCTTTTGAACAGAATAAGGGATACTACGTGGTTTAAAGTCAGGAAGGGTGTGCATCAGGGTTGTATCCTTTAACCATACCTATTCAATCTGGATGCTGAGCAAATAATCCAAGAAGCTGGACTATATGAAGAAGAACGCGACATCAGGATTGGAGGAAGACTCATTAATGACCTTCGTCATGCAGATGCCACAACCTTGCTTGCTGAAAGTGAAGAGGACTGGAAGCACTTACTGATGAAGATCAAAGACCACAGCCTTCAGTATGGATTACACCTCAACATAAAACAAAAATCCTCACAACTGGACCAATAAGCAACATCATGATAAATAGAGAAAAGATTGACATTGTCAAGGATTTCATTTTACTTGGATCCACAATGAACGCCCATTGAAGCAGCAGTCAAGAAATCGAACGATGTATTGCATTGGACAAATCTGCTGCAAAAGGCATCTTTAAAGTGTTAGAAAACAAAGATGTCACTTTAAGGACTAAGATGAACCTGATGCAAGCCATGGTGTTTTCAAAACCTCATATGTATGCGAAAGCTGGACAATGAATAAGGAAGACCGAAGAAGAATTGATGGTTTGAATTATGGTCTTGTTAAAGAATATCGAATATACTATAGACTGCCAGAAGAAAAAAAAAATCTATTTTAGAAAAAGTATAGCCAGAATGCTCTTTAGAAAGGGAGGATGGCAAGACTTCATCTCACAGACATGTTATCAGGAGGGACTAGACCCTGGAGAAGGACATCATGCTTCGTAAATTCAAAGGTTAGCAAAAAAGAGGAAGGCCTTTAATGTGATGGATTGACACAGTGGCTGCAGCAATGGGCTAAAGCATAACAATGATTGTGCAGATGGCACAGGACCAGGCAGCATTTCGTTCTGTTGTTCATAGGATTGCTATGATTTGGAACCGACTCAGCGGCACCTAAGAACAACAACACATGTCTTCAGAAAACATTACCACTCTTCAAATATTGAAATAAAAGTCCCTGAATTATTTATTGTGTGTATATACACATAGTGTATATAAATAAAAAGAAGGTTGTGTTTTCTGGTATTTCTAAATTTAAAATACTCCTATTCATTTTTATACTGCTTCACATAAAAGAACTATTTTATACCATATTGTGATGAATGAAAATCTAGTCCTTTAATTTCAGGAATCCCAGTTTTACAGTTAGTAAATTTAACTAGAACATTCTTACCTGTGTAGATTTCACATCCAGTTCTCTCTAACATCTGTTGACATATGGACAAGAAACTGGTTATATCACTATTTTATAAATGATTCTTTCTGGACACAGAAAAGTTAAATGACTTGTCTGAACTTCAATACCAGTAGATAGAGGAACCAAAAATAGAAGCTTTTCTACTGCATCCTAGACTCAAAAAAATTCCTAGCATGGAGACTATCTGCATTCACTTAGCAGTCTAAAGTCCAGGCCCTGGAACAGCAGCCTGCTTTAACACAGAGAAATGCTTCTGTTTGTGGGAAGTGGTGATTGGGGAGAGGAAAGGCTGCCATGTCTGTTTCTAGATCATTCCTAACCTTCCTATTATAACATAGTTTTCTAGGTGGAAGACAATATGCTTATTAAAGTACGAGTGTTCATTTTAAAATAAAGCAATAGAAACCAAAAAGGCTCTGTTACATAAAGGAACGTATATAAATGGAATCAACTTTTGTTTTTCATGTTCTGTCATGAAGGGAGGAGGCAAATAAGTAGTTGTTTAAACAAATGAAACAGTGCATTATTCATTTAACTTTAAAAGCCACTGATTAGAATAGTAATCAGGGCTTCCATGTAGTACTATATCCATGGAAATACTAATATTACAATGGGTAAAGATGATAGAATGATACTCTTTATCTCTTTATGGAATATGACTTTTGAAATACATTCTCGTTCATAAATGATGAAGAAAATAAGCAGCATTATTAAATGGGATCTTTTGGGCAGTTAAATTCTTAGCATAAATTACAAATTTCTTTCACCCCCTCTTCCACCCAAATTTGTTTTTATGAAATGACCTTTGCTACCAAGTTATTTTATTATTAAATGTTTCATGCATTTTTATTTCAAATGGAAATGGCCTTTTCTGTCAAGTACAGGATTTATAAAAGTTTCTTTGATGAAAAGCCTATGAATTTTGTGCAAATAACTCAGGCAGACTCTTAGATTAGTGATAACATTTGTATAGGATTTTTATGGCTTTATGCGATACTCTTCACACTCAGCTTATCTGACTCTTACCTGTGAGCTACTTGGAGGAATTCCTGATGAGAGAAGGTGCCTTAACATGGTTCTGGGTATATAGCCTGTGTTCAACATTCTCTTTTTTAAAGTAAATTAACAAAGGAAACTCAACAAGTTATTTAACTTACTCAAGGTCACATAGCAAATATAGTGCCACATCAAGAATTGAACTTGCTGCTTAGCTCTAAAATTCCCTGTCTTTATCATTGTATTACTCTTCTCTTTTCAGGCTTTTAAGAAGGCCAAATTAAAATATTCATATTTTAATGCATAAAATTAATGGGAAAATGAGCTTAATTAAAAAAAAATTGAAATCAAAATGGTTGGCCTCATCTGTCTTCAGGAGATTATTTAAGACTGACGTATATTCACCCCTAGGGCACATGACTCTGGGCTGAAAATAAACATGATGCTTTGGGATTAGAAGAATGTGTGTGAATAGTAAAATCACAATCATCGCCTAACAAAAACAAACAAACAAAACGACTTCTTAAATTAATGATGAAAAATAAGAAATTATACCATGTTTCATTTTCATGCCGGAGTTACTTAGTTTTTTGCATTTCAAAGCTTTCTTTATATAATTTCTTCATGACTTAGTTTTCTATTTTTCATTCTTGCAGGGTGAGCAAAGACACTCAGAATGGCTCAGGGATCCGGGGATCAAAGAGCAGTGGGGATTGCTGACCCAGAGGAGAGTTCTCCAAATATGATTGTCTACCGCAAAGTAAGGTGCCTGTTTAAATGCTGTGTGTACTGCTCCGTGTGTGTGTCTATGTCTGTGTATGTCTGTGTTCTATGTGGGGTTGACTGATGGTGGATGGCCGGAAAAATGTTTTCTGCCTACACTGCCTTGGCTGATAAGGATAAATATTGTTTTCTTCTCATATCATCTGATTCTCCAATTCTGAAATTCAAGGAATTTAGGTTTTGATTGTCATACTTTGTACTGAACACTTGAAAAATATGCTTTTAGTTTTCTTCAGACCCAAGGTTGCATAAGTGATGCAGATGGAGACATATTCTCCTTTGGTATAAAAATGTAAAATGTATGAATTGAAGGTTCTTCAAGCTCATAGTAGGTATAAGATCTAGGTTAGATGCTGTAGGAGATAGAAAGGTATGTATGCAATAGATGCTTACAGTTGGTAGGAGCAATATGATGCACACAAATAACTGTACTAGGGTCTAAGTGTTAATTCCAAAAAGAGAAGTCCAAGCTGAGTGCTATGTAAGCGCAGAGGAGGAGGTGATTACTTCCAGTCAGAGAGGTCAGAGATAAGCTCCTGGGGGAATGGCCTTTGCCCTCAGTTTTAAAAGGATGAGTAGGATTACTTTATGTGGAAATCAGAGAGGAAGAGCATCCTTTGTTGGTGAGATGCATTCAACAAAGGCACAGAGCTGGGGAAAGTGAACAGCAACCAGAACCAGTTAGATTGGATGTCAAATGAATTAAACCAGAACACCAAACCCATTGCCGTTGAGTCGATTCTGACTCATAGCGACCCTATAGGACAGAGTAGAACTGCCTATAGGGTTTCCAAGGAACGGCTGGTGGATTCGAACTGCCGACCTTTTGGTTAGCAGCTGAACTCTTAACTACTGCACCACCAGAGCTGAATTATGAGGAGTAAATGTAGGTAAGATTTTGTAAGAGGCTGGATGGAGACAGATTTTAGAGAGTATTGAATTATAGGTAGTAAGAACTCATGCAAAATTGTTGTGTTGGGAGCTGTATGATCAATATCTCTTTGGGATGGTTAATCTTGCTCCAGTGTACCAAGTGAATTAGAATCTGGACAGATTGGCGATTGGAGGCGGGATATTTACGTATCATTTAAGAAAGGTAAGGAGGACACTAATGTAGCAAGGTAAATGCCTCTTGGAATTGAGAGGGACGAATATGAGGGATTAAAGAGTTTGAATTTAGAATGACTTGGAAACGGAGTGAATATGGAATTGGGAGGAGAGTAGGGAGTCAGAGATGACGAGGTTTTTGACTCTGGGTGATGGGAAGACATCGGCGCTGTTAATTCGAAAAGGATAATTTGCAAGAAGAATGTTTTGAGGGAAGGAGATATGGTAAACAAGTTTTGTTTTTCATACACATTGGATTTGAGGAAATAACTGCTTCTTGTTAATGCCTACATGTTTGTGAAAATTTAACCTAACATAGTACATATCAATGAGGAGAAAGTTTCTGTATATTCATTTCAGTAAATATTTGAGTTGTCTGCTGCGTACTAGGCATTTTGCAAGACCCTAATGTTCAATATATGTTAATCCTATGGCAATGTTGAACTATATATTCCTGGATGATCAATATGATGATTTTTTCCTTTTTTCTTTGTAAAAATAGAACTTTCAAATTCTTGCTTTGAGTGTCAAATTCCTTAATCCTTTGTTTTGCAAGAAATGTTCAAATAAGCCATCTCTAAGAGAGATGTTTATTAAGTTGTAGTAAAGAAAAAAAATAAGAGTAATGGAACCGACCAACTAGTAAGGCTTATACAATAACAGAAAGATATTTGTTCATCGTTACTTTCTCAACCCACCCCAAACTAGGAGACCCTGTACCAGACTGGCAGGGCTATAGGCTTTGGTGTCAGACCAAAAAAAAGAAATAAAAACAAACCCACTGCCATCGAGTCAATGCTGACTCATAGCGACCCTATAGGAGAAAGTAGGCTGTAAGTCCTACTGCCATATCTTTCTCCCAAAGAACAGCTGGAGGGTTCAAACCATTGACCTTTTGGTTAGCAGCCAAGTGCTTTAACCACTGTGCCACCGGGGCTCCTTTGGTGTCAGCAGTGGGTTAAAATTCTAACTCTACTACTTCTTAGCTGTGTGATCTTCAGTCAGTTATTTAACTTCTCCAAGTCTTAGTTTCTTCATCTATAAAAGAGGAAAGATAGTACCTCAAGGGGTTATCAAAAAGATTCATTTAGCTAAAGTGAGTAAAGCATCTTCCATCCTGTGTGGCATGGAGGTTGTCCCTAATGAATTCTCTTTTTTCTTTTATCTTTAGGTCTTATAGGGACAGTGACACTTGGAGAGGGAATAAATTATAAAATATATAAATGTTGGTGTTGTTAATAAATTGACCAAAGTAAATCCACACAGCCAGTTGCTTTTATAAGACACAGGAAAACAATACTTTTATTGTTATTCAGGGGATTGCAAATCCGTGGGTTATTAAAGTAGGAAATAGAAAGGTCATGTAAGCAGACACCTTTCCATTGGAATGTTTGGTACTGTGTTTAAAGAAAAAACTTCTCACAGGTTTATAAGAACATGATTTTTACTTGTTTTGGTGGGGAGCAGGAGACTCTTTTTTGGTTGCATGTAGAAATAAGGTTGCCCATTGCTGTAGTTCTTAAGAAAAATAACTAAGGGTAATGGAAGTATATCTGGCTTCCCCATAACAAACTTGTGTAGGGCGTATGTAAATGTTCATGTTGTTTGCTGTATTTGTTGTTAGTTGCTGTCAAGTTGGCTATGACTCATGGTGACCCCATCTACAACAGAAGGAAATGTAGCCTGGTCCTGCTCCATCTTCACAATCGTTGGTATACACGAGTCCATTGTTGCGACTGCTGGGTATTTTGAGCGCCTTCCAACATGAGGAGCTCATTTTCTAGCACTATATCAGACAATATTCTGTTGTGATCCATGTGGTTTACATGACCTAACTTTTGGAACTTAATCTCTAGCCCTTTCTTCCTAGTCTGTCTTAATCTGGAAGCTCCGCTGAAACCTGTCCACTGTGTGTGACCCTGTTGGTATTTTAAATACTGGTGGCATGGCTTCCAGCATCATAGCAATATGCAAGCCACCACAGTATGACAAACACGCAAGTGGCAGATTTGCTACATTCGTTGTATAAAAGAGTATTGGATCTGTTCAGTCTATTAGAAAGAATGAAGGTGTACTTATTGCCTAATATGGACTCAGGACCTGGAATGATTTTAAACCTAGTTAACTTGACTTACTTAAACCCTGGTTGTGTTTGAACCATGAGATATTCACATAGTTCTCTACTTCCAGAGCTGTGGGCTTGCCGTTGGTTAGAAGCAAGAACTTACCTACTGCAGGACACTATCCTCAAGACGTCAGTAAAGATTGAATCTTGAAACCTAGGCCAATTCATAACATTTTCTGCGCAAGTCCTCCTGTATAATGACTTATACAAGGTTGCAGCTGTAAGACCAAACCTTTTCTTATACGTCTACAACTAAAATTCATTTAAAAAAATTGTGTAGTGATTTGGTTTTGCATTTTTGTGCATTTTTGTTTTCTTTCTCTTGTTTGTTGTCAGATGTTTTCAGTGTGAAAATTTGTGCTTCGACTGTGTTGTGCTGATGCAGATGCTGACATTTAAAAAACCAAATCTAGAGAGACAGAGCTTTTGGGTAAACTTCCAAGTAATAAGTGAGATGATTATGTCCATAATGTTGTTGTGACTTTTTTTCCTAAATTTTATTTATTTTGTTGTTGTTGAGAACATACACAGTAAAACATACACCAATTCAACAGTTTCTGCATGAACAATTTAAACGTTGATTACATTCTACGAGTTGTGCAGCCATTCTCATTCTCCTTGTCTGAGTTGTTCCTCCTCCATTACCATAAACTCACTTCCCCCTAAGGTTCCTATTGAATCTTTTAAGTTGCTGTTGTCAATTTGATCCCATATAGATAGCTCTTAAAAGAGCATAATGCTCAAGGCAGACCTTTTTTACTAAACTAAACTATTGTTCTGTTTTAAGATGACATCAGGGAATATTTTTAGTTTATGTTTAAAGATTATCTCAGGGCAATAGTTTCAGGAGTTCATCCACCCTCCATAGCTCCAGAAAGTCTAGAGTCCATGAGAATTTGAAATTCGGTTCTGCATTTTCCCCCTTTTGATCAGTATTTTTCCATGGAATCTTTGATCAAAATGTTCAGTAATTGTAGCCGGGCACCATCCAGTTCTTTTGGCCTCATGGCAAAAGAGGCAGTTGTTCATGGAGGCAATGTAGCCTTACGTTCCATATTCTCCTCCTATTCTTGTCTGTCCTTCCTCTGTTGCTTCAGGTGAATAGAGATCAATTGTTGTGCCTGGGATGGCTACTTGCAAGCTTTTAAGACCCTAGGTACTATACAATGAACTAGGAGTTAGAACAGAACACTAAGAATGTTATTAGGCCAATTAACTGGATTTCCCATGAAACCATGACCCCAAACCTCCAATGCCATTTAAGATGGTAATCTTCTGACACAAGAGTAATGATGGTTGGGTTTCTTAAGCCTATACTTTTCAGAATATGAAACCCTGGTGGCATAGTGGTTAAGAGCTACGGCTACTAACCAAAAGGTAGGCAGTTTGAATCCACCAGCTGCTCGTTGGAAACCCTATAGGCAGTTCTACTCTGTCCTATAGAGTTGCAATAAGTCGGAATCGACTCGACAGCAATGGATTTGGGTTTTTTTGTTTGTTTGTTTATACTTGTCGGAATACTCTTCATTCGCTCTCTCTCATTTTTTTTTAATGTCATTAACTGAGAAGTTGTACTTTCCCAAGACATGGTTTATTTATGACTTGAACAGACTCCTAATTTAGTTTTTCATCATTCACATTCAAATTTTGGATTGGAGGTATGTATGAAAAATGTATTGGTCACATAAAAGTCTATTTAAAAGAAAATCTTAATTATTCATTAAGACACCCAGGCCTGTTAAGCC